ATAAAATGGAATTATAAAGCAATGTAAATGAACAAAATAGTTACTAATACTCGATCAATTTAATGAACAAAAACAGTGAATGTGAAAGTTAAAAGAGGTGAAAGAGTACCTGGATCATAATCCTCCTTCTTGCAACCTAAGATGGCCCACGGTTTTCCAAAATTCCCTTCTTTGTTTTGGTAAATCGGTATTTCAGTATTGATAATTTGACATTGTGTGGCGATATCATCTGGGAAAAAAACTTCCATACACTTAAAAAGAGCATCTTTTATGTCACCATTTGTCACATTGATTGGATCCTTGTAGAAATAATATGGGTTTAAGAGATAACACGTCAAATGCAAAGGATTGTCAAGTCGAGCCTTAATCCTTTCTTCAATGATCTTCAATATCGGTGCAACATTTTTCTCCACATGTTTCAATCCGACACTTATCTCTATCTTTGCTTCTATCAACTCTCCATGCAAAAAAACCCATTGTGGGTTTCTTATCTCCATCAACAAGTCGAAGCACCTTAACTAATGGTCCAAAAACATTCAAACACATCATCACCCCATTCCAAAATTTAACACTCATCACCGTGTTAAATGCCAATATTCCTTTTGAATGTTTCGACCATATGCATTTTCTCCACTCACTGCTAGAAAACATGGATGTTAACTTATCTCTTTTCTCCAAGAGACTTTGCAAAGTAAGAAATGATGATGCAAATCTAGTAACTCCTGGCCTTACGATGTCTCTCTTTTCTGTGAATGATCTCATCAACGCTAACGTCTTGTGATGAGCATAAATGAAGATTGTGATTTTTTTCGCTGCTTGGATTGTCTCTTTAAACTTTGGGAGTCTTGAAATGCTTTCAAGCATTAAATTGATGGAGTGAGTAGCACAAGATGTCCAAAATATACTAGGCTTGATCTGTTTCAACATTTTTGATGCAGCCATATTGTTAGTAGCATTATCTGTTACCACTTGAACAACATTCTCCTCCCCAATATCTTCAATGCATCCTTTGACATACTCAAAAATATATTCACCTGTATGAGCCTCATTGGAACAATCTTTAGAAGAGTGGAACATAGTACCTCCTTTAGAATTGATGCACAAATTCATGATACTTCTTCTCTTACGATCTGTCCAAGCATCCGTCATAACGGTGCACCCATGCTTCTTCCACTCTTCTCCACGTGGTTTTAGCAAACCATCAATCCTCTCAACCTCTTCCTTTAGTAAACGCCCCCGAAGTTGGTATTGAGTAGGGGGTGTAACTCCTGGACCAAATTGTCCGATAGCTTCAACCATCATCTTAAAACTCGTCACTTTCTGTAACACTAAATGGAAGACCGGCAGCATACACCCATCTAGCCATGTATGTTTGAACTTTGTGTGTTTTCTCTTTCCAAATAGCATCATTGATATTTTGTTGCCTAGCTGGAAGAGGTCTCGATTCCGGATCGATAGCTGTTGCAAATCTGTCCATTAATTGGACCAAGTGTCCTAGGCATCTTTTTTTATCTCATATCTTCAATTTCAAGCTCATCTTCCAACTCTTCACTCTCATGAATCTTAACTGATCGTCGTAACTCACTATCAAGCAGTGA